ACACATACTTTTAAAAGACTTAAAATTGTCAAAGCTCAATAAATTGTGTTTTTCAAGGATGGTACAGTGGTGGTATGAATTTGGCTTTCTGTCAAGCACCTTGATAGCTCTCTTGTACAGCTGTTCTATTGGTTTCAGGTTTGTGGCACAAGCAAACGACCAGTTTGTAAAACAGTATTCAATGTGGGATAGAGTCATACAGTGGCGGTATGACTTTGCAGCATTGACAGTTAAGAAGGGTCTAATGGCGCATTTCCACTACAGCGCGGAGCTAGCTTTAAGCGTGCCGTGCCCGGTAGGGGTTTCACAACTACCAATATTTACTAGTCGACGCGTTTTTCAAAATAGCAGTCGACTAGTCGGTACGTCATAATAAAGACACACAAAGAGAGGTGTACAACTGTATTTTATATTGGAACTCATACAGTTACATTAAACACTGCATTTTAATTTGTGTTACATGGCTGAGTAAATAACAAACAGTAACTGGACTTAGTAAATAACAAACAGTAACTGGACTCACCAAAATCGACAGCAAAAAACTCTGTTTACTGAAATGCCACGTAAATCCAGTGCGCAACAGCGCATTGCGCAACACTTTACTCGCTATCCTCCACGATAACGTCCACCTTTCCAGGTTTTTGGTTTGCGTTGAGGAACACCAACGCATCGACATGTGAGGGAAGGAGGCTTGACCGCTTTCGGGTGACAGCGTTGCCTGCCAGGGAAAAAACCCTCTCACTCGGGGTGTCTGTGGCTGGAATAGCCAGGTAGCTCCTCGAAAGCTTGGCTAAACGGGGGACGCGGTGCGCGTTTTCTGCCCACCACTCCAGTGGGTTATTCATTGTGGGGATATGCAGTGTCCGCTGGCAGTAAACCCTAGCTCATCATCCGCATCACTGTTGACCCGTTTTTTCTTGCTGCTCGTCTGCCTCTGTCCTGTGCTGACGCCGGTCCGTTGCTCACTGGTGCTAGCATTACTGCTAGTGCTAGCTGTCGGCAGCGGGTGTCTCATCTTCAGATGGTTGCGCATAGCAGATGTATTTTTGTTGTACTTCAGTACAGCTGTACACAACTGACACTTCACTGTGGAGTTGGTTACATCTTTGTTGAAGTACTGCCATACATAAGAATGTCAGACGTGTTTTGAAGCATTTTGCAGCACCTCGTTTACCTCCATTTTTCACACGACTAGTTGACTAGGGCCTACAGCGCCGACTAGTGGTAAAGGTAGTCGACTAGTCGATTAGTTGGTGAAACCCCTAGTGCCCGGACCGTTTTTGGTTGCGTTTCCACTTGGCGTAGTTCCGGCTAGCGGGTACTATTTCACAGTTTTTCTGGCCCCATAAAATCGAGGTTCTTTCCTGGCCAACAACCAGGCTGAGTCGGGCTGAGTATGCTAAACTAGTGAGAGAATCGCTGGCAAGGGGGCTACAACTACAACAAGATGAACATATTTGACCGTGATTTAATCGTAATACACGTTTCAAAATGATGCCGAAGTAACAACATACTGATACCGGTTAGTAAAAACCATGAATTAATGCTTTGACAAGTCTGCAGACAGACGGCAGGTGAAAAACCTTTTAAAATGCGTGTTTTCTAACTGGAGATCGGCTAAGCTAACGCAGTATATGCTCCGACCGTCCACACTCACAACAACGACCTATACAGACATACATAAACCAGCGACTGTATTCGCCATGACACAGGCAGTCTGTGGTTTGTACTTGTTTAACTTTTGTCTAGTTTCTGAACAGATATGAGGAGCTGTGAGCTTGAGTGCTAACAGCTAACGGCTGATGTTGTTTTTCTCGGGTGCTCATTGAAGATGACGTCACTGCTCCGCCTACACTGCGTTACTATAGTTACTGCCCCAGCTACTAAACTGTAATGGAAACGCAGCATAAAGTGAGCCAGTCCTAACAAGGCCTAGCCATACCGAGCGAGGCCCTGTAGTGGAAATGCGCCATAATTTAGCTCAAGTCTTTGTCTTCGTCTCACAACACAACTAAGTGAATGTGAAATACAGATGTGGTTGAAAGCAATTTGAATGGCAAGACATTTGATTTATCATCATTCGCCAAGTAAAAATATCTTTCTTTGGAACTTTTCATAATGTAGTTTCACCTTCAACTAACTACTCTGTTTTGTTTCATCGTAATTTGCGGGTCAATTACTTGTGGTTAGAGCATAAGGCATTTAAAGATGCAGCTTGGGGCTACAAAGGAAGACATAGTCTTTTAGATCAATTGATAATTAACTTGATTTCGCCAAGGCCAGATGTCCAATTTTGCAATGTTATCAAAAGTGTCAAAATACATTGAGTCTGACCTTTGAATGGTGTACGATGTGAGGGGTCTAAGGACAGAGGGTGTCGTATTGTCATACTGATATTCTGTACAAACTGTGAAGTCCACTGAGACAAATGTAACATTTGTGATATTGGGCTATATAAATACACATTGATTGATTGATTGATCCACTCCAACATTGAATCGATTCTTCCTTGGCTAAGGCAACACCTATTTACCAAATTTGATGAAAATCGGGCCAATAGTTTATAAGGGAAAAAGCCAAACCGCTTGTTTTGGCGGCAGACTGAACCGTACAGTAAATTGACCTTAAAAATAAAACCAAGAGTTATAAGAGGTTAAAAACGGTTGCTAGTTTCACATGGGCTCATCACAGTAAGTGAAACATTTTACTTACGCCTACATTTTGTGATTGTATCTTTATAAATACTGATGAGTGCAGCTTTAAATAGTCAAGCAAGTTGTATGATGACTGTATAGATTTGATACTCAGGCCTTGTAGCAGAAAAATAGACATCACCATTGAAGTGGTCCTTGGTTGTCAGCTGAGGAGGATTTGTGCATCAGATGGGCCTGGTGGGTATCTGATAACAGATATTACTCCAGGGGTCAAGGGCATCACTGGGAACAGGCCAAGGAGAGTCAGGAGACAGATAAAAACACCTGCTCTATTTTAAAGGGTATTCTGCTGTCCGTTTATTTTCTTCTACATTCTCTCGCTTTTTAATTAGAGATATATTACCCTATTGTAAAGGTAATGTGCTCCCACAGAGGCTGTTTGCACTAATATTGCTCGGCCTGCGGGGGTAACTCATTCACATGGCTGTATGTACAGTTTCGCAAAGGTCTGAGAACTTAATTTGTGAAGAAATGAGCTTCAGACAAATAAAGAAAAACACTAATATGTTCGTGGTTGGTTCAACTGTGCTTACTGCCTTCTGCAATGAAGTTATGTTCTCTTGTCAGTCTGTCCTCTTGTTTCTGTCAGCAGCATTTGGAAGAACTACTGGCCTCATTGTTGTTGACATAAGTCGGAAGATCGACTTCACAAATGAAATGAAACAATTCATGGAGCATGTAAATGCACCTTTGTTCTTAGCAAAGGTCTGCTCTCTGCAAATATTCTCTATAGGAAATATATCTCCCTTTTTAACTGATGCTCCATATAGAGAAACAAAACTTTTAATTATTGCACTATGCACACAATGAGAACCATCGTTTGGGTGTTTTTTGGCCCAGAACCCTACGCCTATCTGATGCTGCTTGGAAAATTGTAAGAGCTATGTCGTGTTTTTCCTCACAAAAAAATAAAATAAACTGCACTTTGTCCGAGAACAGCACTTTGAGCGGTATTTTGTCTAGTAATTCAGGTAACATTTAATGTGTGAGCCTTTCATCAAAAAATCTCTATGATGTTTGGACTCTCACAGTGAGAAAGCACCCTAACAGACTGGTTGTTACACCCCCCCCAACATCACTTTAGACCTGTGTCAGGGTTAAGCGACGTCTGTGTTAACCGTTCATGTCATATCCCCATTAACCTCCATTGTGGCTCTCGAGGCCACCCGGTCCTTGTTTAAGCCTCCCTTGGTGGCAGTCAGCGCTCCAACATTAGCCTCCATTACAGCTCCCCTGGCTGCAGTTGCCCTGTGTAGGGCAGCCACTGATCTTGTATCAGTGAAACTGAGTGTCTGTGCCGCTGAGTTATGACGCGCGGTCAGGTAGAGCGTGGTACGTGAACGCATCTTATAGTTGATATTGGCTCCGTTTTTTTCTTCTTTGCAGCAGTGCAGCAGCTCTCCGCCGGCTGCAGCGCGTTAAGCTTCCGTGTCAGTTGTTTTGTGCGCAGCGTGCATTCGGGGTAACCCTCTCTTTTCTCTGTAATGGGGAGGCATGAACTCTCGCTCTAAACCCATTTCCAGCCCATCTGAAATACGGCAGCAAATTACCTCCAGCGGCACCCTGCACACCAGCCCCAATCCGCCCCAAATAGAAGTGACAGGACAGCGCAATTTATCGCCATAACCCCTGCACCGCCCCACCACCACACCACCCAGAAGCCCCGCACACACTGCCGGCTCGCACGTACGCAAGTCTACTGAGTGACTTCTGAATGCGGGAGCATGCGAGTGTGGAGGCCTGTGATTGTGTGTACTGTATATACTGTAGCAGGAGTGTGTTGTGATACCGTGTGTGTGTATGTGTGCGTGTGCGTGTGTGGTCTCTTCGCTCCAGTGTAGGGGCCAACCTCGCTGCTCTGGCCCCCTGCCCTGCCTATTATCTCATTGATTTCCTCCTCTCCTCTTTTCAATTCTCTCCATTTCCACACTGCCGTCCTTTCCATTAGAGGAGCAATTTAACAGAGTGCTGTGACATGGGAGAGAGAAAGGGAGGGAGGAGAGACTGGAGGATGGGAAACATAAAGTGAGGAGGGGAGATATAGGGGAAGAGCTAAGAGAAGACAGGCAAAAGAGGGCTGGAACTGAGGGAGTGGATGGTATCCTCCCACCTCAGAGAATGACTGTTTTGAAACTGATCGTAATGGATAATTATATTAACCATTGCAATAAAACAGAATAATCCTTTAAATTAATATATAACTTTCAGGGTATTTTCCAAATGTTTTTCTTATCTCTAATTTCATCTTTCTTTCTGTTTTTCTTCCTCTGTCCCTTGTCCTTTCAGGAGTTTCCTACAGAATAGAATGCGAGCCCCCCACGACAGACAACCGTCACCCAACCAGCACTGGAGAGGAAGCAGCATGTGCTGGATTCGTGGTTCCCTGTACCGGGTGTCAGCCAATAAGCTGTCCCGCACCGTGGGATCCAACATGTCCATCAACCGAACAGGTACTATCACGGTCACTATAATGGTCATTGACAAAAGTGATGACAGATTTCATGCAGTCCCACAATTTACTTCATGTGCCACTGACATCTCTCCTCATTCCACGGTGATAATTACACGACTCTGATCATTTATAGCTCACATATACATTTAGATACTCCTTGAAAGAAACATATTTAATCTGCAAATCAAGTTTGTATAGAGCCCCAAACATACCGGGTGGATTTTCTCTGAAATCCTTTTGTGTCCTGCAAAACCCATTGTATCCTCTTTGATACATACATGTATATATTGGGATGGGATGCATATATTATATTGTTATATATTATGTAGTTTACATCAACTGGTTATAACCACAGTGTGTGTGAGGGTACCATCAGCTGTTCTTGGCTTAAGTATGATGTTTTCTGAATGTTTTCATTTAAAAACTGTGTTGTCATTTATTGGCTACACCATTTAATTTCAGTTTAATATAACTAACACAATGTGTGAAAAGGGATTCTCAATGTATTATTTATTCTCGCATTGTACTGAAGTCTAGGAACATTTTAATCTGGTAATATACAGTATGTAAAATGTGTCTTAAAAAGCACACCTTATCAAGGGGTTCTGAGCTTATTAATATTAGGTGTTTCAAACACATCAATTTGAAGTTTGTTTGATTTTCTTTTTTGCCAATACTTTATACTACCCGGTACGTTACCAACTCTTGTCCTTTTTTTATTTTACAAATTCCTTAATTCCTAACCCTTACCTTAACCCCCTACATTAATTCCTTCTTTAATTTAACAAAACATCTTGAATATCCTCTACACACAAGCAGCTAGACAAGAACATTGCCTGGACAAAACGCAACATCACTTTGGCAAAAATCTAAATCTAAATCTAAATCAAGCCAACACAAGTATGAACTGGTCCTGTAATTAATACCAGCGTTAAAGAGTGCTACAGACACATTTCAGTCGTTACCAAAAATGTCCCGAGGTTTGATACCCAGCCCTATTCTGGACATGGGTTTAAGTAGTGTGTGTGTGTGTGTGTGTGTGTGTGTGTGTGTGTGTGTGTGTGTGTGTGTGTGTGTGTGTGTGGTGTGTGTGTGTGTGTTGTGTGTGTGTGTGTGTGTGTGTGTGTTGTGTGTGGTGTGTGTGTGTGTGTGTGTGTGTGTGTGTGTGTGTGTGTGTGTGTGTGTGTGTGTGTGTGTGTGTGTGTGTGTGTTGTGTGTGTGTGTGTGTGTGTGTGTGTGTGTGGTGTGTGTGTGTGTGTGTGTGTGTGTGTGTGTGTGTGTGTGTGTGTGTGTGGTGTGTGTGTGTGTGTGGTGTGTGTGTGTGTGTGTGTGTGGTGTGTGTGTGTGTGTGTGTGTGTGTGTGTGTGTGGTGTGTGGTGTGTGTGTGTGTGTGTGTGTGTGTGTGTGTGTGTGTGTGTGTGTGTGTGTGGTGTTTATTCATGTTTGTGGCTGCAGCTCTGCCCACATGCTCTCTAATAGACTTACGGGAGCTGGCTGGATTTGCCATCTGAAATAATAAAATTGTCATCTGTCAGAGCAGAGAGGGGGAGGGTCTGGAGAACTGGACGGTGCAGATTAAAGCCCGGATCTGCCTCCACCTCCTACGCACTTCTCTCCTATACAGTACACATTCTGTAGCAACTACACCTGCAGGCCAAATTGAAGAGTTCCATTCTGTTCAACTCGTGACCGGCATCCCAACACACTGATCCTGCCTCCTCCAGAAACACACCTCAGGAGCCTTCCCAGCAGAACTTTTTGTTTCACATCCTTCCCCAGGGGAGCTTTTTGGTCTGGATCCACCAGCCTGTAATTCTGCTCTTCTTGAATCCCAACAGGGTGCACTCTTAATACTCTTGAGAGTATTAACAGCCAAGAAAAAATATCCAGAATGAGTGTTCGGTTTAAGGTGCTGCACTTCGTCGTCACCCCTCCGTACACAAACACCTTTCCCACCGGTGTTGTTGAGTGCATTGGGTACATAGAGTTTATGATGTTCTCAGACCGAGCTGGATGTCACGTTTGGCTTTGGCACCAATGTGTCAAACCACCACAATATAAAGAACCAGGCACATATCAGACTGCTATTGCATCTGACTAAAAAACACACTCGGACAGCTACACTTTGGTCATACCTTAATAATTCTAATAGTGTTTTTAAAAAATTTCAATTAGGATAAAGCAATGGCATGCAAGATAAAAAAAATAAATGAAAAGCACTTTTAAATATTTACCTATCTCTTTGTCACAAATGAATTCCTTTTTAATATTGTTGTAACATTTCACAGCATGTCATGTTTTTTTTTCTTCCACGCTCATCAGCTCAAGGAGCATTCAAGTATTTGAAAGATTTTTATATGGTAGTGTTTATATAAAAAAATGTAATTATTAAAATAGGCTACACATACTGTCAACACTTTAGTAACATTGCCCAACAACAAGTGACAATAACTTATTCAACATAAGGAGGGAGGCTGTGGCGCAGTGGGCTGGTGCGTTGATGTTCGGATCAGGGGTCACAGGTTCAAACCCCACTGCAGTCAGCATGTCGTTGTGTCCCTGGGACTTCACCCCAAATGGCTCCTGTGGGGATTGGCCACAGTATTGAGTATGTAAGTCGCTTTGGATAAAAGCGTCTAACATGTAATGTAAGTAACATGTATTTAAAATCTAGGTTTAATTTCTCCATACAACAATATTGGATCTGCAAAGAAAACCAACTTGAACATTTAAAAAATATAGTAAAGAGTTTTTCAATCCATCTGTAATTTCAAAACTTAAATATAAATGTAACCAGAAAAATATATGTGTATATAGGACAGAAATAATTTCTTCAAAAACAAATATAATATCTAATAATTTCGAATGGTCAAATTGTTCAACAAAGACGGGAACATTCATATAAAAGAAGAAAAACATAATATTGATATATTTTACAGAACAAACCACATTTTGTAGGAGTTTCAATCAATCAACCAACTTAACCAATTCATATAGCCCAATATCACAAATGTTACATTTGTCTCAGTGGACTTTACAGTTTCTACAGAATATCAATATCATGGGTTTAAGTTTACGTTGGATTGTACCAAAATGTCGCCCTCATTGTTTGGGGTGTTTTTACATGATTTGAATCTGGACAATAACATGAAATGGCATGGACTTCATCTCTCCACTACTGCTGTTGACTTCCTGTGGAAACATAACACCTTTTGAAATATCTCCCTCTGTCCACATGTAGGAAGGTCCTTCAGCCCTGCCCAGGTCCCATTAACGAGTCCAGCTTTCAACAGACCCTACAGTTCTCGTAATTTAGCCAGGTAAGGTTAAAACACTGCCAACGTGTTTCATCTGTTCTCATGAGAAGCATTTTTGCATACATATCCATTTTTTTTCTTTAACAGTTGTATGTGAGCTATCCTTCTGGCTCTCTTCATTAAACAGCACTATTTTGAAATCAAATCCAGCCAAGACTTTTGGATTTGATCCTCCTCTAACATTAACTGCCTTTCATCAGTGTCACTGAGTGCTGTAAAGCCAGAAGTCATCTCATAAAATTAAAATTAGCATACGGTGGAAACCTTAACCCGAAGCTCCTCACATGGTTGTGAGTTGAAACTTTATTCCTGGCACACTATTGTCTTCTTTAGTTACCACAAGCGGTTTGTTATTGATTTGTGGATCCTAATGGTCTGTCTGTGTTTTCTGAAACAAGCCGTGCTGTCCAGCGCAGCATTGCCATAATCAGAAATGCTCGTCAGAAGAAGCAGCCGAAGCAGTACTGCATGTACTACAACCGCTTCGGCAAGTGTAACCGTGGCAACAGCTGTCCCTACATCCACGACCCAGACAAGGTTGCCGTCTGCACCAGGTAAAGAACAGTTGACACACAAGATCATGACCTTTTTTAATACATAAGGCTCAGGGGGAAGAGATGAGTCTTGGGATTTTTGGTCATCTGTCAACCCAATAGAGTTGCAAAGTAAAAGTTGTTATTTTTCGGCTTCAAGGTTTAAGGAAGTAAAAGTGGTTTCATTGCTCAGTGTTATGCTGTGTCTGGATTCGGACACTTCACGGTGTACACTGTGAACACTAGCGCAGTGTGTGAATTTCAACCAGGTAATGTTGTCTCAAATGGCAAACTGCTGTACCCTCACATGAAGTGACAATTGCCACTGTTGGCTAGCAACTAACTAGCTAATTAACATTCCTTTCTAGCTATCAAGCAACATTATGTTTCGCGGCAGCAAATCATTATACACAGCTGAATTAACCCAATAAAATGTGTGCTTTTTTTAATCACCAGACTAGTTGAACTTCAATGAAAAAGTGAAAGAAAAACACATTTTATTTGTGAGACGCATAGGGGCATTTGTTAAGTGAGGGTTGGGAAGTGTAACTCAAATGTTTGCCCATTATGAATGTACCACACTCTCATCCAACTGCAATGTCCCATGGTTGGCTAGGAATATTTGTTGTCAATCATTCCCCATATATCTACCTATTAACGTCCCGTCACATCCTCAACTGTCACTTTCTAATAAAAGCATAACAAATCATCTTCAACTTAACTATGGTGGGCTTGCTGCTTTTAGACTCATTCATAATAGCAAACTGAGGCAGAAGTTGTATTTTTTGTAAAATAAATCTGAATAGTTACATCTGATGGCGATAACATATATCTACTGTTACATTTTCCCTGATATGCTGTGTTTCCCTGTTGAGTTCAATTAAGGATATCTTAAAAAGAAGCTTGTAACAACTTCCAGAAACAGCAGCTCTTCTTACTTTGCATCTCTATTAGCCTGTGCGTTTTCCCACCTGTTTCTGTGGTTTATGTACAGGTTTCTCCGGGGGACGTGCAAACTGGCAGACGGCTCCTGCCCATTCTCCCATAAGGTGGCAAAGGAGAAGGTAACGTGCTTCCACACATAACCTAAGCGGTTAATAACAGTTGTATTGGTTTTTATTGCAAAGGCCATGGTTGTGTACATGTGTTGGTATAAGATGACACCATTGGGTACAGTCATCAAGGATCGTATTTGTGCTCTTGGAACATCTCCATTTTCCATGACATGGGAAGGAGCAAGGAAGACTTAACCCAATGGGGGGGGGGGGGGCTTTTGGGTATGGGAACATCCTAAAGGTTAGAGCTTGTCATTTTTTGGGATCTACACCCCAGCAGGATGCATAATTGCTTGTTCTGCCTCGTCAACTCCTTTTTATCAAAGAGTGTATAACTATGAGTGAGCATTGCTGAAAACAAAAACAAAGTGGCAAAAGTGTAAGTTACCACAGATCGGTCTCGCTCTGGTTTGCACATAAATCAACATGGAACATTATCTTCAGCGCAGACCTGTGGTAGAATCAGCAACTCAGTCAATGTTAGGTGACATGGCTGCATTTAAATATGACGACATTTATTCAGTAGATAAAAAGATTCATTTTGATTGCAAATTCAAACTTCCACAAGATTTGTTAATTTTGGAAATGTCTACTTGGGCTCTGGAAATAATGATTCACATTTTCGACAAGCTAATGTACGATTATTAATTAAATTGCCATAATAATAAACAATGATAATATTTGTAAGTTGGAATACTTAAATTATTAATACCATTTCACCGTGACCCTGATCTGTTTATCATTTGAACTTCTTCTTTTTACAATATCAAACCACTGAAGTGCATGCTTATTGTGTGCGTCTAACACTTCTGAAGCAGATTTCTAAAATGAAAAACATATTAAATGTTATGATCTATGTACTTTAAAAAAATTGGCAATCATTTTGGTACTTAAGATTTGACCATCTAAACTGTTATACTGTAATAAACTGGTGCAGGCTGACTTAAAAGATGGGTACCAAACAAGTGACTTTGGAAATAGTTTACAGCTATTGAACAGACAATACAAAAAGAAAAACAGTCAAACAGTAAGGGTTTACGTGACACTTCCTACCTTTTGGTTGTGCTCTTTCGACAGCAGTGTTCTCTAATTCTCTCAATGTGCATACTTCTGTAATAACATATGCTAATTTGATATTCATAATCATTCATAAATGTGTCCCAATGGGAAGCATGGCAAAATGCACACATAACATTTAAAAAGAGCTTTTTGTGGAATCCTGGACACTTCCCACACTCAACAACTGTTATATTTGTTATGTAGCTGACACATGTTTGAATTGTTCTTATTATAATATATATATATACACACATACATACACACACACACACTGTTTAAAAAAAGGGGGACCCTACCCGCCTACCGGAAATATTGGACAACTGGTCACCCAAGGGTAGATGAAAGTGTAGCTACTCAAAAAGGGAAAGCTCTCTTTAACTTCTTTACCCCCTTAAGACAAACAACCCTACAACAGATGCTCTGCCTCACCCTCCACACACACTCACAATGCCCTGCACCTGTGTTGGCTGTCACACACTGCGGCCTGTAAGTGCTGAGAGCCCAGCTGTCTGTTTGTAATGCCACCTCTCCTACAGCGCCCCCCTACCCCTCACCCTTTGGCCCATCCCCCCAGAGGATACTCCCGCTCTTATTACATGTGGACCCCTTAAACAGGACTGTATGGGGTTCCTAGGCAGAAGTGAGGTGAACTCAAAGGGGGGGGGGGGTGCGAGGTTATGCACCCATGCACCCGGCAGCCCTACGAACCCGATCTGGGCACTAGTGTGGATAGGTGAGCCCGAATGTTGAATCCTGCACCCCCCCCCCCCCCTCCACTCTCTGGGACCACTTGCCCAGTCTGTGCACACATCGAGAGCACATAAACACATCATGAGAGAGCCTGGATACATATTTCTGTTGCAGTTAATTAGGTTAAACTGATCCCATCCCACCAAGGTGGAGTCCCTCTCACACTCCGCCTCCCTAAGTCCCCCCCCCCCCCCCCAAACTCCCCAACACCCCCTTCCTTCTTCACCGAATCCCCTTCAGAGGTATATTTAGACCGGCATCCACTAGGCTCGCCCTTGCACACCAACAAGTAGATATCTCTGCCCACACACACGCACACACACACACACACACACACACACACACACACACACACACACACACACACACTGCGCACATGCTGTCAAGACACACATTCACTCTGATTCTGCTGCTGTCAACTGCAATTAAGGTCATTTAACTGCTCAGCTTGATATATTGCTTGGCACACGGGACATGTCTGAACTCTACATGACGGGGTTTTTAGAACAGCATGTCTGTTAACAAACTTGTATAATCCCATGTCACATTTAACACTGCTCTCTGTGGGTTATTTGTATTTATATCGGCTACTTTCTAATTTGACAAATTAAGGAAGACGATCATGAAGGATAAAAGTCAAATGGAAAATTGAAGATTAAAAAGAAGCAAAAAAATAGCAACAATGTATTTTACTGATGTATTTGTGTACGCTTCTCTATGATACAAAACCATTTTAACCTTTTTCTTTATTGGCCCAACTTTGGATGTCAGACTTTTTACCAGGAAACTTTCTTAATCTCAATGTAATGTCTGATGTTTTTGAGGAAGAATGCTCAGGATCAATAGTACTTGATTCTGTCTGATCCAGATTGATGCCCACATTTTAATTTATTCGACATTTTGCCAATAATCTGGAAGACACTTCAGCCCCTCCATATAACAGATCAGTCATTTTATTTTTGACATATCTAAAGAAGAATCTACTCATATTCCCCCATGTTCGTCTCTGTGTTGGTCTATGTTATTATTTAAAGATTCATATAGTAGAATGTTTGTAATTGTTGATAGAATACCTCTTTTCACACTCTCTTGGTCAAGTAATATGAAACATTTTCCAGCCTTAGATTGCTTACATAAATGTGTTTGACTCTCCAGATGCCGGTGTGTTCCTACTTCCTGAAGGGAATCTGTAACAACAGCGACTGTCCCTACAGCCACGTCTATGTGTCCCGAAAAGCCGAAGTGTGTGAGGACTTTGTGAAAGGCTACTGTCCTGAAGGAGAGAAGGTAGCACACAACACACCAGAAATATTCCATCTGAGGCAGGCTCAATGTGACATTACTTTATGAGCATTTCTTTATCCAGGCATGACCAGAGCAAAAAACTTACAATCAACCAATTATATCAATTGTTTTGTTGTGAGTTTGTGGGTGAAGTTTGTTACAAAGAAAAAAGTCCCTCTTTTAAACTGCTCAATAACAATCTAGTTCCATTATGTAGTATAACCCATTCATATGAGAAAGATGTCACAGGGTACCCTCCTGTTGTCACATGTGTCAATGTAGAAGATGCTCTGCTAACAAAAAAGCAAGTTCAAAGCACCACATAAAGAAGGCTTTCACTTTCACAGCTCCCTCTATTCCAAGTACACACACCTGTTCACCATCTGACCGGCGCTCAGTCCAGGTCACAGCGGGGTCTTGGACACTGGTCAGCTGACACGTGTTGAACCAGTTAGACTGTCGTCACCTGTATCACTGTGGTATAATGAAATACACGTGACTGCTTCCGCTCTCGTTATACAATGTCTATTGGTTTGACCTCACTAGGATTTTAGTGAACACTTTCTGTTACGCCCATGTTCACAATGCATTTTGTTCCATTTATAGAACTATATAATTACAGTTAAAGACACTGGTGATGAACACATTATAATCATAAATATTCATATTGACTGTATAAAGGTTAAGTGAGGTGACGGTGACGTTTTATGATATTTTGCAGCACTTTTTCTGCAGTGTGCAGAACACACAAAAGTGAAATTATTTTATGATCACTTAAAAAGCGACTTATAAAACACACTTCAATGCATCATTGTAATTATTAAAATACATTATAAAGGGATTATATTGTATTTATTTTTGTATAATTCACTATGTTGCTTGCAAAAACATATCCGTGTGACCAGAAATTGTGGAGTATAATGATACTTTAAATTGTTGTCATAAAGCATATATTACATATATTAGTTCTCAAAACTAGTATTAAACAGTTCTAAATCCAGATTATAAAACATTATGGGTATGTCTCTGATGCATTATATTCATGGGTTTCATAGAAAGTGTTTCCGAGCTGTATTTAGCGCTGCGTAGATGCCAACACTTAAAGTACAATTATTCATCTAAGCTGTCTTCATTTGAACGTATAATTATATTGTACAACACGTATACAGTTCCACTGAAGTTTAACTGAGGCTTAGGTAAACAAGTGGTTTGGTAACCAATCCTCCCCACACACACACACAAGCACACACACATGTACACAGGCAGCAACAGCTGCAGAGGGTGGTGGTCCATAATGGCATAACTGTAGTGTCTGAGTGACACATTGTGGGCCTGATGGGTAACAGAGAACCACCTACACATGACCCCCCCTGACACACACAAACACACTGTCCCTGTGGCCACCTCAAACACACACTCCACTCCTCCCCCTCTTGGGTTTTCACCTCCCTTTGTCTCCCCCCTTTCCCCGCTTGTTTTTGGAGCGCGGAGTGTGAAACAGATGCTTTTTCACACTGTCAGACCTCATTTAAATAGTGCATGGGGAAATGAGGGTATCGAAAACAAAAGGGATATTAATATTTATTCTATTAGCTGAAGTGCTTAGGTCTGTGATTTTCCCCCCTGTGTGTGTGTATGTTTGCGTGTGTGTTTATGGAGCGCTGTGCTGTGAGGCTCTGGTGGCTCTATGATGGATAGCAGGCAGTAATTATAGATGGGAAAACTGCTGAGGATGGCACTATGGGCCAGGCAGACACTCCGGCAGCTCAGGGGTTAAGTCTGCTCCTCGCCTCCATCCTCCCCTGGCTTTGTCTCACGCTCACCCTCCACCTCCCGGGATCCATCTCTGGTATCCTAATTGTCCCTTTTTTCTTTTTCTTTTTTACTTCACAGCATACATTTTCATGCTGTTTTTTAATTATTTCCAATTTTCCAATTTACTCAAATGGGGCTTCGGTATCAGGTCCATTTTCTCTTATAGTTTTTGACACGATAAGCCGACAGTCAGCCATCAAAGAGCGTCTGTGGCCAACTGCCATCCATAGTTTTGGCCATAGTCATCTCTTAATGGATTTTATCAATGGCCATTCGACTGATTCAGCATGTTGAACCAGGAATAGAGAGCTGTCAGATTGGCTGTTTAGCCAAATGAATCTGTAGTTTTCACCCTTCTTAAAGCAGTTTATCTTAATTGGACCCCTCAAATAGAAATGTCACAGGGCCTTCTTAATTTTTTGAAATACATATTTTCAATTGTAGGCAGTTTGACAATAAAGAACCTTGTTTAAACTAAATATTGTTCTGTAAGTGCACATGCATGACTGAGAGTTACTCCAGCCATTCATATTGTCCCTGTTATTTGAAAGCCCGCTAATTTCTATGATACACAGCTCTGGATAATTAAGAGACCACTGCAAAATGATCAGGTTTGACTATTTATAGGTATGTCCTTGAGTATAATGTACATTTTTCTATTTTATTCTATGAACTACTAACATAATTTCTCTGTTTTGAAATTCCACAAACACTGGATTGTTATGGATGCCATACATGTAGAGATTGAGATTTAAGAAACATTTGGAGTGGTCTCTTCATTTCCAGGGCTGTACTTAAACATCCTTTTCACATTCACATACAGGAAACAATATACCCGCTTCCTATTCCCCTTACATTTAAACCAACTAACCTCACATCATCATTACCCTTCTTTTTATTTTCTTTCACTATGTGTACAATTATTTAGATTTACTATGTAGGCGAGTCAACTTTGTCCAACAATGACATAAGTAGGCTGTATTACAATTTCAGTTACATGTTCAATGAATATTAAGTACATTACAATAGATGTTTATAGATAATTGCCGCAAAAGCTATTTTACGGTCATCAATGAAAAAAGAACACTGATCATTGAGCCCAACGCAAAGCCTATTACGCGGCCACATACTAAATACTCCAATGTCTTGACTCACAATATTGATTAAAAAGGATTTTATTGACTTAGAAATGATTGTATTAAAAAAGAGTCCATTCCGCCGCGTGCCAACTGCTTGAACTGCGGCGACAGCAATGTCATTTAAAATGACGGCATCACTGATGGAAGTTTTCTGTTGCAGTCCAAGTCTGCTCACATTTTCTGTTCCATTAACCAGTCTTTAGACAACACCAGAGCCCATACTGTGTTCCTTTAGTGTTTACTTCCTGTCTGTCTTCTTCTGTCGATTTCTCTGACATCCAACGCTCTGTCTTTTCACCTCTTTCCTTCTCTTGCACTGATTTTTCTTTTCTGTTTTGTGTACAGTTTAGCCATCATGAATCCAAAAGTTTGGTGCTCAAATATAAAAATGATGTTAAATCGACAACTTATTTTTGTGGAATGATATGACTACAAGAATTCCCTTGATCCTCCTTAGCCACGGTCATGTTATCCTAAGCAGCGTTGCGTTGGCAAGTATTTACAACCTCTGACTAAGAACAAAAAACAGACTGCTAAAGGTCGGAATTGTTTACGGGTCTCTGATTTATAATCCACCCTCGTCCCCAATTCTGGCTACCTGAAGTAAAACTTTGTTGGGTTCGGGAAGATTTTACACAACTCTGGTGCTAATAATTCACCAGCGGCATCTGTGTCCATTCCCCATGCATCAATAGCTGTCTCATTGAAATGAATGAGGATGCTGCCTTTTTTGATGCAATGCTAATATCAGTCTGAACACGACCTAAGATCTACTGACAGTGTGAACTTTCATTTTCTTAACATTACCATCTCTTTGTTGCTGCTCTAGCAACCTGAACTCATGTATTGTTCTATTGAACCCACTGGAAGTTGCTTCAGACGAGAGTGTCGGCTTAATGCCCAAGATGTAAATGCATGTGATGTCAATTTTTTATGTTACTGTCTTTTCTATCTCCCTCCCTCCCTCCTTCCCTCTTCCTTTCTTGCTTCTTTTGCTCATTCTCTGTCTCGTTGTAAATGTGCTGACTCCTCCTGGTTTTGGCACAGCAGAGAGCTCTCTAATAGGCCCCAGAGACATCCCAGCATTCTTTAAATCAAGTGGAAAATTGTTAACTTGGTGTGGGATAAAGATGTTCTGTCCACTTTAGCTTTTTCTTCCCATTTCCCAGCTCTCTCTCTTTTTATGAAAATGAGGATGAATGGAGGTGTAGGGAGAGGACTGAGCTTTTACAGTCAATTTCTCTTCCAATTTGTTTATCACACTCAAAGTGCTTCAGCTTTGTGAACTCCTGTTCCCTTATCTGTTGAATAGAACGCATACATCTTTTAAAGTAAAAAATGTAAAGGTGCACATCAACATTAAAGTGAATATTTTAGGTTTCCGCATAGCAGCAGCTTTCAAAGTATTCTCTGCACGATTTTTTGATGAATAAGTATGATACGCACTCCTGTTGTTGCTAATCATAACAGTCAGTTTTAAGATTTGCAAAGTTGCTTTCAGAATTGTGAGGTTGTACCGCGACACATTGGACTGCATGGTTATCAGAATAATGAGAAGCGCAATACTGAGATCCCAGTTTGTATTCACTACAAGACATCCATCTTTGAAAGTGTGCAATTTTATAAAAACAGCAACACGTGTTAATATTCATTGATTTATCTTAAAGCCATACATGACTTAAAGATGATTTTATAATAATGTGAAGGACACAGCTTGCAATTAATAAATTAAATGAATATAGAGTTTTTGATCACAGAATCAGTTGGAATATTTAGATTTTTCATTAATTGTACCTGGGGCCAGTAAATGCTTTTTTTAATTGCACCTCAGTGGAGGCAAAGCATCAGTATCAGCAGATCAAGTTGTACAGGTCGCTTGTGAGTAAAAGCCAGGATCACATTTATCCTATATGGAAGTGACACAGGAACTGTAACTTTAAACAACAGTAATGAACAGTTAACAGAACTCATCGGATATCGCACTTACGTCACTGTCGCCCATTGCCATTTGCACTCCATACACTGAAGCCATACACTCCAGCATGTGCACATGCTCTGAATCAACTCAACTCACTGTTTGCTTTCTGGGCTTCAAAGACAGCCAAAGAATACACATCTTTTGTCAGAGACTCAAACCCCACTAAATTAAAACTAAATAAGTTGTCGTATATACTTGGATGATTTTTTTGGAACATGCACCAGGACTTAAAATAGTTTGGCTTATTTGAAGCTTATGTACATGCAGGTTTCTTGCTGTTCTGACTTTGTATCTTTATGACTTTTGAGTCAAATCTAATGTTATGTTATTACGCTACTAAATGTTACTGTTAAGATGAATCCTATTTACGATTTATTTGGTTTCAGAATGATATTGGTGTTGGCAGATATCCAAAGACGGATCGCAGTATCGGATCAGAATTTTGGCTTCTTTGAAAACTATCTTTTTATATATTAAGTAAAATATGATGATTAATACAGGAAAATAATAAACATTAGCGTATTTCTTAGCCCTGTGTTGGCCTGACAGGCTCAGTAGCGATGTCAGACATCAAATATAAAATCGACACCGGCATGAGGTCTGATTTAAGGAGCGAAATGTAGTGTCAAAACCGCAGCCCTATAAGATGATCCAGAGAAACATTTGGCCACGAGCTGACCCTGGGCCTTCCTGGCACCCAGGGGTGCAGAAACACAGGTGTGAGGACCCTGAGAGGGGCTCTGGTGGCAGCGAGTCAGGGCTGCTGGGCCCCAGAGAGAGTTTACTAAGAGTCCACGGTGTCCCAGAAAATCGATCTCCAGATCCTTTAAACACGCACACATCCCCCGATACACACTCTATTTCAGGACCAATCTGCTCCCCAGTACCACACTCCTCACCCCTGCACACACACAGACACACACACATACACACACTCCTCGCAGCCTGCACCCCAGAGTGAATATAATTAGCTTTTCTGACAGATGGGAGGGATCGGATCTCGTGGAGAATGAAGCTACCAATTTACACCCGTATTACACTGTCATACACTCAAGTTGCAAACATGCATGTGAAAGCTCAATCGCTCATGCACAATACTCGCCAGAATGACGCTAACAGTGACCCGCTTTGCTCAATGTGCATGTTAAAGGACAGGGTGACTGAAAGAGTATCTTTTGAAAGTAGAAACTTACAAAAGAATGGATGGAATACGAGGGAACCAAATCTCAAATACCTAATCAGGTTATGTCCTTCGTTTCCAAAAACAGTCACACAAGTGGGAAACTTAGTGGGATGAGATCATTGGTAGAAAACCTCTTTGAGGGAATGTTTTTTATGGTCAAGAACATCGTTCTAAAAGGTTGGGTCGGGCGTTGTTAAAACTTTTAAACCAACCATTGCCCTGAGTTTCACGTGGGTGTGTGTGAAATATTCATACCATTTTTCATCTTTAACAAAAAAAATACAACTGTACACCAATGACTAGCTTAAATGTTAATGCATCATAGAATACGCCACAAAGTGTTAAATTATTTGGATTAGTCCTTCCCTGTTTCCCAAGAATTCCCAACGTTTTCTCCGGGCGAAACCCTTAATTCAACAATTTTTGTATTTAAAGATGTGACGGCTCTACTCCCTGTTTTTCCCTGGTTTCTCCGTCTTCTGTTGCCTTCCTCTTTGTAGAACAGGCATAGTTTCACGTAGCCAGACCTTTCGCCACACTCTGTTTGACTTCTGGGCCAGCTGACGTAAAGCAGTTAACTCATTCTTTAGAGTCACACCATTAAATTAGCACGGGAAAGTGCTCAAAATCACCCCAAGACAACAGTACCATATCATTGTCCAATCGCCCAACGTCTGTATCTTTTATTTAGTGTTTAGATCTGTGACTTAAAAGTGCTGCACTCCATCCTTGTTCTGATGAAACCAATGATGTTATTATATCACAAAGGGGCATGAAGGGTGGCTGTTGCTCAGGAAGTAGAGCAGTTGTCAACCAAACAGAATTTGGTGGTTCTACCCCTAGCCCAAGTCTCCTTAGGCAAGATGCTTCACTCCAAGTTGCTCCCAATGGCATGGCCAACTTGTGTGAGTTTTAGAGAAAGTGTCTAGAGGTGACACAAACTGGAAGGCCATTATATAAATGCAATCTATTTATGTGTTATGATTATAAGAGCACACTTGTTCTGTTGGTTGCAAATGGTCTTGGGAAAAAAGGTTATTAACTTGGCACAAGCAGCTTCCAGCCATACGTTTGAGTATTAGCTGAAACAAGACTAACCTGTGGCTTTGTGTCTAAATGTGCCCGTCTCTAACCCCCAGTGTAAGAAGAAACACACTCTGGTGTGTCCGGACTTCTCTAAGTCGGGATCCTGCCCTCGAGGAGCCCGCTGCAAACTGCAGCACCGCCAACGAGCCAAGAGAAGTGCCAGCAACACCTCCAGCACCGCGGCCAAGAGAGGCCGGAACAAGGAGCCGGCTAAGAGGTGAGGGAGGCAGAGATTACAGATATCACTCATAATTGGCGAGAATTACAATTGAAATGAATTGAATACGTTTAAGGTGAAGCGCTGGAGGAGAATAGGGTAAACACTTTATTTACAAGATACCACCATTAAACGTATTCAGTTGTTTACTTACCTAAAGACAATAATGTTGTTTTGTTACAAGTTTTGCAAATGAGGCATTGCTTTTATTGTTAGAATAGAAATGCAAACATTGGATGGCTCAGAGTACGAGAAAAATACTGTTTTTGAACAAATGTTCCTGAAAGATAAGTATTATAACATTTTGCAGGTCGAAACGGGTAAGAATAAAGAACTATTATATACCAGCCTAAAACATACTTACATTTGGAGAAATTACACATTCTCTGAAATGTTAAAATGTACAAATGACGCATTATCTAATTCTTACTAAGTACATTTAAGAACATTCTACAGTGGCAACTAAACAAAGTGTCATAAAATAAACACTCAAGTATGTATTGCGGATGTTTCTTTTCCCTAGTCTAAATTATCGATTGAAATTGGCCAGCGGTAGTATCTTTTTTATCTATTTTTTCATTCAGTTTCATTATACATACATGTTCACATTTTGGTCAACAGTTTTTCCATTTTCATTTAGCTGTATCTACATAGCCAACATAAGAGAAGAAGAAAAGTACAAAAAGAGATCAATACAAATATCTTTAGTATCTTTTAACATCCTGTTTAATTAGTTGTTTTCTTTTGTTTTTGTTTTTCCCTAGGCCCCGCCTGTCTGTGGTCATCCCTCAGGACTCTCAGGGAGATCCAGGGACGCCCACCAAAGGTCCTCTGGCACTGCCCTCTTTCATCTCCCTCTCCAGCTCTCCAGAGGATGCTGATGCCCCGGTCACGCTGCTGTCTGAGACCTCACAGGTTAAAGGTGACCGAAACACATGACCCCACAAACCATAGACCACCTCAGATTGTCCCAAGGTGTACGCAAAAACAATCAGGCCAACTTTGACATTTTTTTTGTTAAATGAATTCAACTTTATCCTACCCTACATACAATTGTTGTTCACACAGTGTGCGAAAAAGCACACGTCCCACCGTCCGGGACGTGTTATTTACGATATCGGACAAGTAGATCTTTCAATTGACTTGTCCGGTGGAAAAGTGACGTTTTTCGCCGTTATTTATTGACAAATTATTGATAAATTCTGTTTACAAAAGGCAGAATTCATTCGCAAATTGTCCGTGTCCGCCATTGTTCGTTTAGAAATGTTAGTTTCGGGTTCTGCTTGTCGATTCCTAAGGAAATGCATCTCGCCGCTTTCTGTACTGTTAGACGGGGGCGGGGCGGGACCATGGATGTATAATGAGAACGACGACGTGTAGCACAGTGGCAGAGTTGGGAAGCAAAACTCGGTTCCGAGTAAGAACAAATAACAATTGTCCAGTACCGGGATTAATAAGAGTTGTGAGGACAGGAGGCGAGGCCGAGCCCCGCGGACCGCAGCTCTCTCTCTCTATGCTCCGTATCAGCTGATCGCTGCACGGTGCAGCTCAGCGTCTCTCTCTCTCTCTTTCTACACACAGCGGATCCGCTGCCCGTTTAACAGTCTCATCTTTGTCAAACTTTCTTATGTTCTTTCTCTAACACGTAATGAAGTTTATTAAGCGTTTTAACTCCTATGTTGTTAATATTGACCACCATTTCCTTTATGAAGTGAAGCCTCCCTGTCTGTGTCCTCGCGCTGTCCTCACATCCCCGGACCCCCAGACTCGGAGGAGCACAGGGATGTCAGTATTGTTTATGAAGCAAGGTATAGAAAGTATCTACATTATTTAAATGAAAATACTATTTATTTACTTTTACAAACAGTGGGCAGCTGCAGCATGTGTATTGCAGGACATGTGTAAGCGTGCAAGCGTCTTCTAGTTGTAGAAAAGTGCTAGGCCTATGAATCTAATGTATTATTATTATTAGGCCTATGTGTTGGACATGTGTGGTTGGACTCTGTCTCACAGGCAGGTTGCAGTGTAACATCAGAGGAGACTGGGCCAATTGTATATTCTCAAACTGCACCACTTAGAACTAACTAAACAATGCATAGATTATTTTTATATATTTTATTCAATAACCGTAAGAAATTAAACAGTATGAAGTGATTTGTAAATAGGAATACAGATTTGACTTAATGTTTTCATAAATATATTTTTCTCCCAGTTTGTCATGGGACTTATTTTTACCCTCTCAAAGAACCGGAATCGAGAACCGAAAATAACCGGAATCGAAAAGCATAACCGGAATCGTTAAAATCCAAACGATACCCAACCCTTTGTGTGATGCAGTAAAAGCTTACCGCTCACTTACGTTAGCGGTGTCGTAAAAAACGTGGAAAAATACGATGGCAAAGAAGAAGATTCCAGTGGCCCCCAATTTTTGTCCATTCTGGACAAGTGAAAAATGTATTCGGACAAGTAAATTGCCAAACTCACTTGTCCATGGACAAGTACTCTCTAAAAACGTTTTCTCACACTGTCACACATGTATTTCCTGTGCAGTGGGGATTATTACTGATATTACAAAAGCACTCAATTCCATCTTCTTTACCAGATTTTGTTAATCAGAAATATTTAGGGTTTGTTTATGACATCAGCGACTAATAGTTCTGAGAAACATCCCTCTCAACTCGATTAAAAGGAATAGAATAGTTGAGATTAATAAAAACTGCCAATTCTGACCATGTTTGAATTTTACATTTACAGAATTGGCAAATACATTTTTTGAATTGATAGGAATTATGAATTATGATGTCAACAAATGGGATGTTCCTTAAGAGGACTAACTGCTTCACTCAGTGTAAGAGTGCTGAGTGTGGAGTGTAATTGTCCGGAGACGTTTTGTGGAAGGATCATGTTTGTCCTGAAAGCCCCAGGATCATTCCCAGAGTCCATGAGAATGGGGAGTGGTGATTCGTCTGCGCTGCAGACAGATAATGATGATCAGAGCCGCGCTGTGGAGTGTGATGATGCTCAGGGGAGGAGTAATAATGCTCAGAGGACAGAGGTAATAATATTTAGGTTTTAGGCTGGCCCGAGGCACAGCTGAGCTCTCTGTTGACAGACATGACATATAGAGGATTAGGAGAAAGGGAACCCTCCCCTCTTCAAACCTCTTCCTCCCCCAACCCCCCTCATCCTCCCACCAGGCACGACCATCCACCTGCCCCTGATTGCTGGACACATGCACACACTGACATATATATATACACACATGCTGGCTCGCAAGGAAAAATGGTATCCCTTTCACATGAATGTAACCGGTTATACCACGCACTACTTTACCAAACACTTCAGTTATCAATATTGTAATATTACTTCCTTAGAAAATGTTTTTCTTCAGTTGCTTTTGTAGGATTTGCTCAAATAAATAAGGTTTATTGCGGAATGTGGTCAAGCTGAAGGAGTAATAATATTATATTTTATCTCGGGGGAAAAAAAGACAACAGATGTGTTTTTATTTGAAGAATACAATTAAAATGTCCCAAGAGACACGGTAGATTTGTAAATGCCTTTGTGGAAAGCTGGAGGAGGATCATCAATCTCATCTCAACTGCAGTTAGTTATGAGATTTGGACAGTTAATAAGTTAATGAGTAAATTAATTGTTCTATATTTCATTATTGTCTTAACATACACAGGTATTTCCAAACCTTATCAGCTTCTAAATGAGGACACTAAGAATTTAAAGAAGAAAAACCTTTAGGGGAAATCATCTTTAAAAAGTTTTTTAAAGATTTGTCACTCTTACTTTTCCATTCCTAGATAATCCTCCTTCTCTTTCATGATTTTATATTTAGTCTCTTCTGCTTGGAAACGAGCAGGAGCTTTGACCTGGCCCGAATCATCTTGACCTCCGACTTTCCCCAGTCACACACACAGTGCACACACACAGTGCACACACACAGTGCACACACACAGTGCACACACACACCAATATAATCATATTATGGTGGTAAATGTGTCTCTCTTGTGTCCTCAGAGGTTTTTAGTTTATGTTTTTGCATTTAAGTGTGTATGCTTCATTTCGCTATCCAGTGAGTTTGGAAGGATGTCCTGCTCACATCTAAGTTTTTTGCAGCTGCTCGTGTCTCTTGGCGTGGTTCTAACACATCCTTGGAAATTGCTAACTAACTTTTCAGGAATGGAAAGCATTTATTATATACGTATATAAGTTACCAGTTAAATTACATTACATTGCATTTAGCTGACGCTTTTGTCCAAAGCGACTTACAATAAGTACATTCGACCAGGAAGACACAACCTTGAAGAAAACAGAATCATATAAGTACATCAGGTTTCATAGAGCCAAACATTTCAAGTGCTACTCAACTGGCTTTAGGTAAGCCAGTCCTTTATTAGTATATAAGTGCTTTGTTAATAAATCTATCGCTCGAAGTGGAGTCGAAAGAGATGAGTTTTCAGTTTGCGCCGGAAGATGTGCAAGCTATCTGCCGTCCTGATGTCAATGGGGAGCTCATTCCACCATCTTGGAGCCAGGATAGCAAACCCACGTGTTTTTGCTGATGGGAACTTGGGTCCCCCTCGCAGCGAGGGCACAACGAGTCGTTTGGCTGATGCAGAGCGTAGTGCACGCGCTGGGGTGTACGGTTTAACCATGTCCTGGATGTAGGAAGGGCCAGATCCATTCGCAGCATGGTAAGCAAGTACCAGTGTCTTGAAGTGGATTCTGGCAGTTACCGGAAGCCAGTGAAGGGAGCGGAGGAGCGGAGTGGTGTGGGAGAATTTAGGAAGGTTGAAGACCAGACGAGCCGCTGCATTCTGGATGAGACGCAGAGGTCGGATGGCACATGCAGGTAGACCAGCCAGGAGGGAGTTGCGTCGCTTTCTGAGTCAGCTGGGGACGTATCTTCCTGATGTTGTAAAGCGTGTATCTGCAGCAACGGGTTGTAGCAGCGATGTTTGCAGTGAAGGACAGGTTGTTATCTAGGGTCACACCCAGATTCCTTGCAGTCTGAGTCGGGGAAACAACTGAGGTGCCGATGTTGATTGTTTAGGTCAAGAGTGGGACAATCTTTTCCCGGAAGGATGAGCAGCTCAGTCTTGTCAAGGTTGAGCTTGAGGTGGTGAGCAGACATCCACTGAGAGATGTCAGCTAGACAAGCAGAGATGCGTGCGACGACCTGGGTCTCTGAGCGGGGAAAGGACAGATTAATTGGGTGTCGTCAGCGTAGCAGTGGTAAGAAAAACCATGCGGGCTAATGACTGATCCGAGCAAGTTTGTGTACAAGGAGAAGAGGAGGGGACCAAGAACAGAGCCCTGAGGGACCCCTGTAGTTAATTGACAAGGGTCGGACTCAGACCCTCTCCAAGTCACCCTGTAGGTACGGTCTTTCAGGTATGAGGTGAGGAGGGAAAGTGCAGAGCCTGAAACTCCAAGTTTTTGGAGAGTGCGAAGGAGGATCTGATGATTCACCGTGTCGAATGCAGCAGACAGGTCCAACAGGATGATGACAGAGGAGAGGGAGGCTGCTTTAGCAGTGTGCAGTTCCTCCGTGACAGCAATGAGAGCAGTTTCTGTGGAGTGACCTGCCTTGAAACCAGACTGGTGCGGATCCAGAAGGTTGTTCTGATTGAGATAACAGGAGAGTTGTTTAAAGACAGCGCGTTCAAGTGATTTAGACAGGAACGGGAGGAGAGAGACAGGCCTGTAGTTTATAACATCAGACGGGTTGAGAGTGGGTTTCTTTAGGAGAGGGTTTACTCTTGCCTCCTTGAGACTGTTTGGAAAGTGACCAGAAGTTAGAGAAGTGTTGATGAAATGGGTGAGAAACGGTAGAATATCAGGAGCGATAGTCTGAAGGAGGTTTGAAGGGATAGGGTCCAGAGGACAGGTGGTAGGACGGGCAGAGGTAAGTGATACTTGTGATACTTGTGTTATTTACTTAGTGTAGATGTAAGAAGCAGCAAAGAGCTAACGGATGGCAGCGTCAAACATAGTGTTAGACTTGTATGTTTTATTAATATATTTTATTTATATTTTAAGGACTTTAAAAACCAGGAGTGTATTTGTCCTGCAATGAATATGTACGTCATTATTCCTTTTCTAAACTGTTTTTGTCATTAACACCTTCCTGCAGAATGCAATTATTATGAGTCAGAAAAGGTGTCAACATCGCTGATCATGGGATTATTTTGAACATCTCAGTCTAACTAATCCAGTCTAGCTCAAAAAGTCGCAACAATATTGCATGTTGCCAAAGGAACACTGTCAGCATCATCGTGTTTTAGTCATGGAAAATAATATATATTTTAAAGAGGGCGTATTATGCTAATGTTCAGGCTTAATTTGGGGATTTTATTCCTCTATTGTGACAAGTTTACATCCTTTGATGTTCAAAGCAGTCCTTATTCTTATCATACTGCAGCTCCTCTTTTCACCCTCTGTCTGAAACCAGAGCCCAGTCTGCTCTGATTGGTTAGCTTGCCTGCTCTGTTGTGATTGGTCAACCGCATAGAGATGTCCCGCCACTTAGCCTACAATTGGTTGGAGTGCTAGCCAATAGAAGCGAGTGTTACATACATAGTGATGTCATTATGTAACGGAAGTAAACAAAAGAGTCCAATGAAGGCGTTTCAGGCAGGGGGGCGGGAGTGTTTGGGAGAAAACTCCCTCTGGAGAGAACTTTTGTATTTTAGCCTTTGCAGACCATTTACATGCACAAAAACCTATATAACACTACAGGTAAGTGAAAAGTATAAAACGGCCCCTTTAAGTCGTGGCTTTAACGATATGAACTGGTCTAAATGGACTTATCTGGCGGGCTGCAGCATGTCTTCATGTTTACTTTACATGCTCTCCCTGTGACACACACAGGTATGATCATTTTGTCGTCCCTCCTCTCAGTCTGTCTGCATAGTTTGAGCTCTTAAGTAATACTGATGACACTCTGCTGCTTCACTTACACACTGCGCCGCCCAGAGCCTCATTAAAGGTGGAACTCAGCCAAACAAGCTCCTCTTCACTTTGCATAAATTAGCTTAGGCGCAATGTATCACTGCCAGATTGCGACCTCACACGCAGACACACATATCCTGTACACACACCTCCATACACCTCTTCCTCATTTACTCATCAGCTGAGATGTCATCACTCAGGGTTTCAGCAGGATTCAACACACAGAAGATAAGAGTCGGATACACACATCTTGTATCTTCCTGCCATTACTCATTTCCTGTTTTTCCTCCGCAGAGAAAAGGCTGCAGATCAAGCCTCGGCTGTGAGAAAAAGAGAAAAGACGCACCAGAGGTAAAATAAAGACTCAGCAATGATTTCTGTGCTCCAGGTTTGTCCTGACAGGTGTATCTGTGTCTCTGTCCTATGAATTCACTCAGGGCCTGAACGTTTTTTTTTAATATATATCTATCTGTTTTACATATCAATTTGGGTGTTTTACAGTGCAGATTTTATTGATCAAGTTTTGTACATTTCAAAAAAGACAAAATAAAAGGTGAACTCGTAACTGTGTGGTGTTTCCCAGACTCTTTTTGACATGTGAAGTCAGCGCTGTGAGTGTTTATAGGCTGCGAGGGTCTTTCTGTTTGGGAGCGGCCGCGTCGTCACATGACCCGAGCGTGTTTGTGAGCGGTTTCCTTTGGAAGGTGGTGACAGAAGCAGCAGTGCCCCTCACTTTAAAGCCTGGAGGAGCGGACGGTGACTTAATCCGCACCATGCTGTGAGTGTGTGTGATTTAAGAGGATGCGTGCTCACACTGAAACAAGTCTCTTTTTCTGCATTGTATCAAAAATACCATCAATCACATGCAGTATATTTAAAACCTTATTTGATGGTAGTTACATCATAAAGGGATGTATTATAAATCATTGTTCGGGACAGCACCTTAACCATAGCAACATATTATAATGTTCCCCATGTGTTCCCTTATGGGCTTCCATGATGCATGTGATTAGCAGAAATATTCAAGTCTTCTTCAATTTTGCACAAAATGTAAAGATACTGAAACTAAACTGACAACATATAAAGGTAGGACAAGCAGGTATTCATGCAAAAGAATCAGAATACCAGATAAGGTTTAAAGTCCTAAAACTTCAATATAATTTAGCATTGTTATACTTGCGGTCCTTGTCTCAAAGTTATTATTATAATTGTTTTATTAATGTATTGTTTAAACACCAGAATCAGGGTCTCGGTTTGACAAATGTTTAAGGAGATTAAAAGTTGTTGAAAATGGCAGTAAATAACCCCCACAGCTTTTATTAAAAAAGGCAGTCGCTAAAAACGTGGCAAAAGAGATTTAACATCCCTAGCTTTGTGTTCCCAAACAAATTCTCAAACTTGTAGAATTATCAATATATATATATATAGAATTCCAATCCTTTTTTAGATCGATTGATGCAAACTCCACTTACAAGTTGGTGGGCATGGGAAGTCATGCAACCGCCATGTAGTTAGTCTATAGCCCAACCATAGTTTTACACTTCTGGCAATAGCATTTACGCTTAAAAAAAACGATTGAAGTGGTATTCGATTGTAAAGATTATCTTGCTGTACAAGATGTTTAAACATCATAAATGTTTTATTTGCAATTTACCTTATTTTCTGCAATGATACAATATCTGACAAAAAAAAGCAACCCTTGTATATCTGCCCGGTTCGCCTATAGAAAAATGTCACCCCTGCATCACGCTATACTGAAATGTAAGCCCCAGACGGAATTAAAATCACTAACCAGCACATGTAATATTACAATTGCTCATCACCTTATGATGCATTGGAACATCAGTTACTGAAACTGATGGGTCTTTTTAAACTAACACCAATTCTGTCCCATCAATTATAAAACGAGTATGAAACATGCCGATTTACATTACAACCAAAATGAAAGCACCAATCCAAAATGTATTTTATTTTTGCCAACATAAGGATGAGGAACTAAATATTTTAATAAAAATTCACTATTGATGTTAGAAATTGTTTGTCAAAATAATCTTAAAGGTAGGGTATAAGAATGGAGAAACCAGCTCGAGTGCGCTAGAATTTGAAAGTACACAACCGAAAGAAATCTGCCCCTTCCTTCAGACTTCCTCCAACACACACGAACGCGCACATGACCAATGAGGGCACGAGATAAGTTTGTGCACAGATGGAAGGCTGACAGGCAGGTAGGCCATCCAGTTACTTTAGCCGGGCCGGCTCAGATAATTGGACTTGCCACGGCTTCCACAGATGAAATATTTGTATGTATTTATTGTCAAAGCATTTAATGTATTCATTGCTATCGGGATGTTAAGAGCATTCCATGGAATATAACAAGTGTTTCTGAAGTGAATTACATACCTTTAACTGAAGATAGTTTTACGAGATTTTCTATGAGTAAACTTGGCAGCAGGATCCTCTTTGGCATGATTTGTACCTTGATTCCTCACATGTATTTCTTCATCTCTGCATGTGATATAATTGACTGTAGATTGGAACAGAGAGGATGCTGGGATAAGTAACTCATCCCCTGCTCTGCACAATTAGTAATAAATCTATTAATACGCTGTTTATGTGTAAGTGAGAGTGTGTGAGCGTGGAGCCTTATCTTTACAGCATTACCACGCTATTTAACTGAGTTGTCACGGCGACAAACAAGGAGTATGACACTCAGGGGGCCTGCAACACAAATACACACCTAGGAGGACACAATACACACAGGCATATGTACTGCCTCCATGCTAATGAGATTAGGGCCAAGGCTTAAAGAAACAGTGTGTTCACGTGTTTTAGTCAATGGTTGAATATACAAAAATTGCAACATACAATTTACATGTAGGTCTTGGGTACATTATTAAAGGTTGACTTCTATTTTTTTTTATGTAGTTATGCACATTTAGAGTGAAATGTTAACGATAAAAAAAAAAGTTGTACTGACTTTTTCTACTTAGGTCAGCTACAGGAAATCTTTCCATAATGGCAGCCATCTGGTCAAATAGGAAGAATTCCATGCTGGAATGTTTCTTCTTGTTGTGTTCTTACCTTATCCAAAATGTTCCAACCTAGAGAAATCCGCAATTTCAATCAAGGTTATGGTGCGTTTGATTCGGTTGTCTCTTATGACGACGTATCCTCTTTGCTCATGCAGCAGTGTTGTTGCTATCTATTTATTTTTATGCCACATTTTTATGATATACTTTTAAAATCGAGTCCCTTTTACTCTATATGTCCTAACCGAATGGTGAACTTAAATCATCAGACGTCTCAGGGACACTAACTGGGCAAACGGAAGCAGAGATACGTGCATGTTCTTACTTTTAACATTGCCAGGCTAGCTTTCCCCTGACTCCAGCTACTAAATGCAAAGACATGATATTAATATCAATCCTCTTATCTTTTTTCAGGAAAGAAAGCGATCACACCATGCTGTACCCAAAGCAAATTCCAAAAAAGCATATTTTGAGATAGCATTTACACGTGTCATCATTATGGTCGACATAACCTCACACACAAAAGATAGATCATTGGGTTGATGATCTGAAAACTTGAGTCCATATACAGATTGACACATAGGCCTACTGCCTGGTTCACCTGTGTGTGTGTGTGTGTGTGTGTGTGTGTGTGTGTGTGTGTGTGTGTGTGTGTGTGTGTGTGTGTGTGTGTGTGTGTGTGTGTGTGTGTGGTGTGTGTGTGTGTGTGTTGTGTGTGTGTGTGGTGTGTGTGTGTGTGTGTGTGTGTGTGTGTGTGGTGTGTGTGTGTGTGTGTGTGTGTGTGTGTGTGTGTGTGTGTGTGTGTGTGTGTGTGTGTGTGTGTGTGTGTGTGTGTGTGTGTGTGTGTGTGTGTGTGTGTGTGTGTCAAAACTCGATTTTCTCTCAGATGTATTGACAGCAGCGAGCGGAGATGGAGAGCTCGACATGTTTCTCAGAAAAGGCAGGAGACAGGGAGCCATCACTCTTCTCCTCTCACCACACGTGTCCCCCCCCCCTTCCTCCCCCTCCTCACCCACAATGCTCCTCTCCTGCGCTGAAGACGTAAGTGCCTTAGACAGATGTCTGCTGCCTCTTGTCTAAAACCCTCAACGCGAGCTGCTGAGCTCGGCAAACTCTAATTAAGATCAATATTTCAATTTTTTGTAAAAGCGCACGAGACGGAGGGAGAGAAATCATCTGTCCGCGTAGACTCGGAGAGACAAAGGGAAAGGTCAACTGTGATTCTTCACCGTGTGTGTGTCAGAGTGACTTGGTGTGTGTGTGTGTGTGTGTGTGTGTGTGTGTGTGTGTGTGTGTGTGTGTTAAAAGTTCTCCTTTCTTTCCATGATGATTTGCCTTTTGAAATTCACTTTCTTTGAGAGATAAGTGCATTGTCTTTCTTATTTACAGCATGTAGGACATCTTTCCTATTGGTCATGATAACATTGTACTCATCCAGATGGAGAGATGCCTTAAAACACAACAAAATCAAATGCAAATATCACATCATTGATAAGTTCCTTAGATTTGCGAATATCGTTTTTTTACACGTCTTTTGCCTTTTTAAGCAGCTACAGATCTCAGACCCCCTTTCCTCATGGCTCTTTTGCCATGAATTGCGTGTCACAACTGTATTGTGCTAGCTTTAACCTTGTACATCCTTTTGTTAATTATGTATTCTCAAGCATAAGACAAGGTCACAGCTTTTTAACTGACCACCAAAAGATTCCTAGACAGAAAACAACAATTGTACGTAATTTAATCTCAAAATAATCATGGATAATTCACATTTCAGTATAAACTTTACCTCAATAAAGCATATCAGACCTTACTGTCAGATTATTTTCTTCCCTGTCTTTCTTTTTTTTAAGATGGTGACCCACTTCATAATTGATGGGCTGATAATAGTTGAGTTGGGTGTGAAAACTGTTGTGACGAAGTTGGACTGATCCTGTTCCAGTCTGGCTCAGTTGGTGTTGACCATCAGGAGATGACATTATGTGTTGAAGGATTTTATTGGTATGGCTGTTCCATGTCTTCTCTTCATCTTCAGCAAAGTGTTAGTAATCTTGTAAACTCTTATGTAAAGCTAAGTTAACCCACATCGGCCAGGATGTTTCTGGAACTCCCGGTAACCCCACCGTCACTCTTTCTGATTTGTTTCTAGCTTTCTTCAATTAGATGTCAGCCTTGTGCAGGCGCACTACTCATTCGATGTGTAGCTAAATTAAATGGTAAGGTTTTAGTGTTAATCCATGTCACTGCAAAATACTGAAAATACAAGATAAGTAAGACTTGGAATACATGGCAAAAGTTGAGGGTTAGTAAATAGGTATTTTGATACAGTTTTGCTAATATTTGCCGCATTTATTGAAATTCACGAAGACTTTTCTCTGTCTTTTGATTCATCATCCAATATTGAGCCATGCTATAAGAATTCACGATAGATATAAATGGTCATTTTGTGGGTAAAGTATTCCTTTTACATCATGTGTAATACCCAAACTGCGTGGAACACACGTTTGAGTTTAGAGCACCATTGTTATAGCTACCTTAA